AAATGACTTTAAACCAGTAAAGCTGGAGTTCTTATGTCGCCCCGATAGACTCCTCGAGGAATCTAGGCACGTTCACGGGATACAGTGGGTAAAAGTACACAGTCTCCATGGCAACAGAGTGAGTCCATGGTCCTTGAAGTGGGAAAGGGGCACCTGGGGTAGTTGATTGGTTTCCAAGATAGATTTGAGGTTCCAACGGTGCCTGTTTAAGCATCCACTGTGTGACATTGGGGGAGATCAGGAGGCTTCCAGAACCTCAGGTTTCCCACCTGTAAAGTGAGGCTAAGACTGCTCATCACAACTCCCAGCTCATYCTGGGCAAATGATCAGGTAAGCCACCTCCCAGAGCCCTGTAGAGACCATGCTTCAGCTGGCTAACATTCACACAGTGACTCCACTTACTGGGAACACCTAGGATATGGGTAGGTCCAGTGGTCTAGTTTGGTCTCCCTGACAGTGGCAAAAACCTGCCAGTTTATTAGCAGCCTGGAAGTATGAAGACAGCTTAGAGGCAGCTAGCAGATACACCATCAACAGCTCCAACCCTGGAAATGGGCTTTTGGTGCACAACTGCCGTGTAAATTCAATTAAACTGCACAAACCCTCAGATTTGCAAAGTGTTAACCAGAAAGATAGGAGGCATCAAGCTGTGAGATGTCCACACTGGGGAGTTTCTTTCCACATCAAAACACAACCTTTTTTGCTTATTGCTTGTTCAGCTCACATTCAAATATTCCATGGATGTGAACAGTCATATGTGTGAGCCATAGTTTCTACCACTCCCTATTGTCTTTCACCCTGCCAGTTTCAAACATTTCCATTTCCTGCCTGGCTCAGAAGCATTACAACATGTATCTCCTGGCTATTCTACTCTGCCAATTTATGGAAGGATGGAGAGCATGTCAAAGGCATGCAGAGGGTCAGTGGTTAACTAGAACCAGGAACTAAAACTCCTGACATTCTTAGAAGACTCTTTGTTCACTTATTTCCTCATTCATTAAAGAAGTGAATKATTACTCCTTAAGGAGTAATGCTATGGCTTTGATAAGTGTTGTCCAAAGATCCATGTGTTAAAGGTGTGGTCCCCAGCCTGCGGCACTATTGGGAGGTGGTAGAGCCTTTAAGAGGTGTGGCCTAGTCTTTAGGTTATTGGAGGCATGATCTCAGAGGGGGACCCCAGTCCATTCTTTCTTCCTCTCTCTTTTACTTCCTATGCAGGAGTGGTGAGCCATTTTGTTCTACTACCAGCTTCTGTCATGATGTGCCTTCATAGACCCAGAGGAACAGGGCCAATGGATCATGGGCTRAAAGCTCTAAAACTGGGAGCCAAAACAAACCTTTACTGTTTATAAGTTGATTGCCTCCGATATTTGTTGCAGTAGTAGAAGGCTGACTCACACAAGAAGAGCCCACTGTGTCCAGGGCYTCTGCCGAGAGTAAAGCAACCTATGAATTAAACACAGCCTCTGTCTGAATGGTTCACAGCCCCCTGGAGGAGAAAACCAAGCAGACGATTACAATTCATTGTTCCAAGTGGTGACCAGTTCTTCTTGGGGATGGGGGCATACTGGGGGAAGAAAAACCCTCTGGAGAAACACATCTTCTTTGATGTGTTCCCTACCAGGCTCAGCCATGCAGCAGATTTAGSTAGCTAAGAAGACATCTACAGGGTAGAATTAGGCAAAGTCTGCCTACCTGTGTGAATATCATGTTCAAAGCACTATAACATTACAATCCAGAAGTCAGTCCATGAGCAAAATGATTACTGGGGCATCACTGAGTACCAGGAAACAGTGGCAGAGTACCTCCGTTAAGGGGTTAGGCAGGGCCATAACAATGGGGAAGGGATCTCATCCTCATTCCAGAGGAAACTGAAACTGTCACCCTACACCTGGCCTAGGAACAAGAGGGACAGGCAGAGGCTGACAATCTGCCAGACGGTCTCCCAGACTACTGGGGCAGAGTCAGAGACACTGCAGCAACTGTTTACCTGCGCTTGCCTCCTCCTCCATCTGTGTGGTTGAATAGCTACAGCAGGTGCTCACCATCTTCTCAGCACTAGGGGGAGCCTAGAGAGTACCTGGTCCAACTTCTACATGCAGATGTGCATGCAGATGCTGGGCTGAGTGTTTACACATGGAGATAAGACAGGAACAAGTTTGTGATAACACATGAACRAGTTTGCATGTGAATGGCATTATGTATGTTTATACAAACAGGTGTGAAAATGGGACTAGAACTCACATGTGTATGTTTGTGGACAGCTGTGAGAATGTGTGTGCACAGGTGGGCAACAGACGTTAACACACTTAGGAAGATCAGATAAAAGCAAAGGTGTAAAAGTGCATTTATGCCTGGGGTGATGTGTTGGCAAACAGCTAGAACACGTGTGCATGCCCAGGCTGGCAGCTGACTCTGTAATTCTCACTTATCAATAACTGGACCAGTTGCCAGAGGAAGAGCTGTCAGAACCTGACCCAAAGATGACCTGATGGCACCACAGATAACATGTGGGAGGCCCAAGAGAGAGGGAGCTTCTCAGTTACCCTGCAGGGGTGGTAGGCAGGTAGAGGTAAGGGTGACTTGGGTACCTGGGGCTGCTCAGTGTCTGCAGGGTGAAGACCAAGTCTTATAATTCATGGCAGATGAGCCTTTCCCGCTACAGCAAACTGAGTCCTCCACATAGCTTCCAGCCCCACTCCAACCCCCACACTCTCCCAACCCCCATCCCCCCACCCCCGTGCACAATGTCAAGATCAAGATCCATGACAAAAACTACCATGAAGCATTGCTGCTTTTCCATGTTTTTAGGTGCTCTGAGGACAGTGCCAGATCTAGGGTGGCCACCCCATCTCAGGTTTACCCCAGACTTTCCTGATTTTAGCATGGAAATTAGTGCATCCCTAGAAACCCTTCAGTCACAGGCAAACTGGGACAGCTAGTCACTCTAGCAGATCTGAGCTTATACAATTGAGACAGAGGCAATTTCTTCAAGGAAAAGACTATAAAGTACAAATATGGAAGGGATATGTGAGTGAGGGAGCTCAGAGTCTAAAGTTTCCTTAACTTCATGGCCATCTACATCAGCCATGGAAAGAGTTTCAACTTTGAAAGCAGTCCAACTGGATATAAATCCAACCTCTGCTCACTGGCTGTGTGGACCTATGCAAGTGATTTACTCTTTCTGAGCTTTAAGTTTTTCTTCTGTAAAGTAGGGACAATGATACCAGGAGGACTGTGTAGGTTAAATAAGGTAATAGGGGTGAGGATGAACACACACACATTTGCACACATACTCATACACACACAGTTGGCATTTGATTTATCTTCTCTATTCCTCTCTGGTATAAGTCTGTTGACTAAGTGAACTGAGGACAGAGAATCAAAGGTCCCAAAGAACCCTATAGTGAAGAGGTAGTGGACAGGACACAAGGAGAGTGGGCTCTTCTTTGCGTATGACAAGATGGCTCCTGGAAACTTTGGTTCTGCCTCCAACCAGCCTCTGCCTTCTCATCTCCATATAAGACTTGAGGAACACTGACCTTGGCTTTGTCCCGGCATTTTGTGATTGAAAGATGCAGAAAGGTCTCTGCAATTTCTAGAGCAGCTTTTCAAAATGCCCAGCCTGAGAGGATCCAACAAGGTGAATGAATTGGGCCTGAAAATTTGAATGTCCTAGAACCATTATTTCATCTTCTCCCTCCTTCTCTCTGAGTCCTGACCCTTGCTAATAGTTAATCAAGGTGGCCTGGCATAGGAGATGGGGGATGCTCTGCTCCCTTAAAGGCCCTTGGAGGTAGGGGGTCTCCTCTACCTGAAATCACACTGTCCAAAGGGCATCCTGGAATGTAACCTGGCTTGAAGTGGCTGCCCTGTGCCCTCCTTTCTAACTCAGAAATGACACCGCCATGAGAAGGGAGATAGGCTAAGTTTCCAAACACATTTCTGTGTCAGAGCAGGACAATGAGAGAGCTCAGGGAACTTTACTAGAAACTGGGGAAGTTCCTGCCCTTACCTGCCTCAGGTAAGGTATCAATCAGCCAGGTATCAATCAGCCAGGTATCAATCAGTCAGGGTCCCAAAGCAGTGCCTTGCTTTGCCTAAATATCCTGCAGGTCTGGGGAGCTCCCCCTACCTGGGCAGTTCACACTTGAGTTGGCCAGCTATATGCAAGTCTACCTCAAGATGGAGTTTGAAATTGCCTGCAAACTAYTTGCCTTTCCTCGGCCAGCTTGAAGAGTGAGTCAGCTGCTCCTCTGTGGTCACCAGACTGTGCTCTAGGGATGAGAGTGAGTCTGCTGCCCACAACACACAACACATGTGATGAGACCCTCTGGGAGAGCTGGCCTCACCTGGAGGGCAGGGCAGGCATTCCTGGGATCCCAGAAAGGAGGCCCTGATAACCCTTCACCACCTGTTCCCCATCTTTTGGTCTCACCTTCAAAGCCTTTAGGAATGTGGTTCCTGGCACCCATTTAGATTGCTAAGTCAATGCCTCCCCAAACCTCTCCATCTCTTTCTCCTTTCACTTCTCCTCCAGATATCCCTTTAGACCAAGTCTGGGCTTTTTCCCCGCCCACTGTTTTGTCTTCAAGAATGCTCAAGAAGTCCTGAATTCCCTGAAACTCACAGAAGAAGTTCATGAAAAAGGAAAACTGGGGTGGAGCCCTAGCCCTCCCCAGGACTTGGGGACCCAGGGAAGCCCCAATTTTCCAACAGCCTTTTCAGGGCAACCAGGGGAAAGACACTCCTTTCCCTCCATAATGCCCTGTCTCTGCACTTTGAGGCTTCTGAGCGCCAGGCTTGAGCAAAGGGGGCGTGGTGGAGGGAGGACAGTCCTGTCAGCCCTCCTGCCGGCACCTAGGTGCAGGTCCCTCAGCTCCGTTCCCACTAATTGGTCTCATAAGGCGGCGGGCAGGAGTGCTCTAGCTGCACAGATCCGAGCCCTGTCATCCGCTTAGCGCCCTCGCACCACCCGGCACTCCCGCCCCGCGCCCCCTCCCGCTGCTACCGCCGCAGCCGCAGCCACCCCCATTGTCGTCTCTGCTCTCCTCGCGGATCCAGGGCATGGTTGATGCTCCTGCTCCCAGCCTCGGCGGCGGTGAAGCTCACTACCCACCCGCGGAGACATGAGGCGCAGGCCGCGGGCCGTCCTGGCGCTGGGGCTGCTGCCCTTCTGCTTGGGTGAGTGGCTGCTGGGCCTCTCCGGCCGCCGTGGGTGACAGGGAGAATGGGGGACGGCGCGACTTGGGTGGACTCAGGGACATCGTCCACTTCCAGAGTGAAACTCGGGCTGCGGGTCGGGGGCGGGAGAAGTCCTTCCAGCTGTCTGGCCCGGCCAGATCGTGGGCGCTCCTGGGGCGCTTCTCCAGAGGAGAGGACCCAGAGCCCCGCGGTGTGGGGCTAGACCCTTGGGGCTCTCCCTTCCTCCGACGCAGGGTGGGAGATTGACTAACTACTTCGATGGCTTGGAGGGGCAAGGGAAGGTATCCTGCCTCGCAGTATGACCTTGTCGGGGCACTTTCTGAGCAAGAGTTTTCAGTCCTCCCTTTGATGGGATTGGGCGCCACCTCGCTCCTAAACGCCSGGATAATGTGGTGTCTTGGAGACGCTGGAGCGCAGTCGGAGCCCATTGGAGTTGCGGGGGTAGGGGTGCACTGTCCGGCGCGCCCAGCGGGGACCCTCCGTGCGCAGAAGTTGGAGAGACAGAGCGCTCTTCTTCGCACTAGTGGGGTCTGACCAATGACCACGCTGGTGCGAAGCTCTCCCGGGGTGTCTGGGGGATCTTTCCTTTCTTCTTTCTAGTCCAGGCCAACTTTGCCCCCCATTTCTTTGACAACGGAGTGGGCAGCACCAATGGAAACATGGCCCTATTCAGCCTCCCAGAGGACACCCCTGTGGGTAAGTAGCCCACCCCCACCCCCACCCCAGGTCTCCCAGAGAGTACGTTGCATTCCCCTGGATGCAGAGACGCAACCATGACTCCTTTGAGCTTACGGGGTGCCTAGCTCAAGGCTGCGCATGCCCCTGGGGGATTCCTTGTTTGTCCTCCAAGTTCCCCAGGGCAATGTCAGGAAAAGAGGTCACCGCTGCCATGGCGACCTAAGCCGGGACAGTCCAGGAGACCGGGGAGAGAGCCTGAAGACAGGGTAGGCCCCTGGGGGCAGTCAGTGGTCTGCAACTTGGCGGTAAGGCTCTGCTCCTTAGGGGCTTTGTGCCCTTAAACAAATATATTTACTTCCCTGAGCTTCAGCTCTCTAGACTTTAAAAAGAGCCACCAAGTTCCAACCAGCTGAAATATAAAGAGATAGCGAGGAGTAAGAAAGGGTCGCAGCCCCTCTTCCTTACTCTATCAGCGTTGGTATTCCTAAAGAAAAGGAGGAGCAAGTTAAGCAGCACCTACCTTCAGAAATCCCTGAAGTCTTCCAAGTGACTTCCTGCCTTCAGTACTGCTCCCTTGTCTCCTTGCTTCCCCCACCCCAGGGATAMCCCTCCCCCTCTTCCCAAGTCTTGGCTCCAGAGAGAGAAGTCATTTTAGACAGAGGGAAATAGTCACTAGAGTCAACTAGGCACAGCAGACCTGAACCTCCTCCATAATCTGTTTTACAGATTACAGTCAGCAAAGTGGCTGATAATAACATCTGACAGTTGTGAAGAATAAAGATAAAAAGTGGGAAGAAGCCAGGAGGGGTGAAGCCAGTCAGGAGCTCCCAGTTCAGGGCAGCACCTTAGGTGCTTAATTGAACAGTCACTCTATAAACATTTGCATCCTTGGTTCTGAGCAACTGCCACTTTCAGGATAAATTGGGTCCCAGGTTCTAGGTTTCCCTCACTGTGCTCTCTCCAGGTACCCATGTGTACACACTGAATGGGACAGACCCAGAGGGAGACCCGGTCTCCTATCACATCAGCTTTGACCCCAGCACCAGAAGCGTCTTTTCTGTTGACCCCAATTTTGGAAACATCACTCTGGTTGAAGAGCTGGACAGAGAGGTATGGGGATGTGTGGGAAGCCCTTTAGGGCTGCTGCCTGCTAGAGCATGCCAGTATGTGTCAGATCCTCTCTGCAGAGCAGGGGACCAAAGGGGTTGAGGGTGGTGATGCTGAGGCTGCCCAAGAACAGCAGCTCTGCCTCTGGGCTGCTTTCMATTACAGAGGAGACTTTGATCTCAAGGGGGGGGGGCTTTCAAAAGCAACTGCCAGCCCTGCTAATCTTTTGAGCAATTAAAAAGACATATTTGGCTGGGTGTGGTGGCACACACCTGTAATCCCAGCACCTCAGGAGGCTGAGGCAGGAGGGTTTCAATTTCAAAGCCAGCCTCAGCAACTTTTCAAAATAAAAAATAAAAAGCCCTGGGGATGTGGCTCAATGGTTAAGCACCCCTGAGTTTAATCCCTGATACCAAAAAAAAAAAAAAAAAAGAAAGAAAGAAAAAAGAAAAGAAAGAAAAAGAAAGGTGAAAATGTTTGCACTTTGAGGTTTCTGAAAGAAATTTCCTGCAGTGGTCTTTCCTGCAGTGGTCTTTGAAGCCAGTCCTTAGACTGATCCTATAAACCATAGGGAAGCTCAGCAGATCAGGACTGGAAAGAGTGGTTGAGAGAATGTCTGAGTTTGGAAAACCTCCTTCCTTCTGCATACATCTGAAACTACCAATGACAGGGCAGGGGATTCCTTTCTCTTTAAAGACCCGACACTAGGCAAGGTGCAGTGGCACACACCTGTAATCCCAGTGATTCAGAACAGAAGCATTATAAATTCAAAGCCAGCTTTTTTTTTTTTTTTAAGGGCTGGAGATGTAGCTCAGTGATAGAGTGCCCCTTGGTTCAATCCCCAGGACCATAAATAAATAAATAAATAACCCCACAGCAGGCTGGTCAGCCTAGTTGGCCACATAACTAGACCTCAGCTGTGGGGCTGCTGCCAGTTCTGCTTCAATGACAGAATCCACTAGCCTCAGGCAGGATAGAGAAAGGGAAAAAAGGACTCAGTGACTACTGTGGAAACAGCACTCCTGGCACCCACAGGGATCTGGTGACCTTATAGAGGTTCACACAATGTCCTGGGGAGCTCTTGAGACAACATGGGCATAGACCACTGCAGATCTCTGGGATATGGGGAGGTGCAGAGAGATAAGGGAGAGGTAAAGGAAAAGAAAAGAAAGGATGTCCTCTTCTTCCAGCTGAGTTGGCCTCTCCTCCCACTCGAGCAGGAGAGCATTTCCTGTTGGGGCCCCATCAGTTGCTCTGGGTCTATGAGAACCCCTGATACATAAATCCCCCAAATCTCAAGCCTGGCAAGAGGCAGCTTTCAGCCACACTGGGTGCACTGCCACCACCAGGCCCTGCTCCAGGGCTTCCTCAACATGCCCAGGCCTCCTCTGATGGTCCAAGAAAAGCTCTGCTAGCCCCAGCATCCCCAAGGCGTGTCAGGTTCCCAGACACTCACTCAGTTCCTGTGCTTCACAGAGGGAGGATGAGATTGAAGTCATCATCAGCATTTCTGACGGCCTGAACCTGGTGAGTGCGCTCCTGAGCTGCCCTAGCAACATGTAGCATTTGGGCCTGAGAAGAGCATGGTTCCTCCCCTAGCCCACTTGAGGGTTCCTGTAAATCCAATCCAGGGTCCAACAAGRCCTGCCCAAACTGCCCAGAGCAGAGAGCTGAAGTGAGGTGTGAAAGAAAGAAGCAAGGTGGAGAGAACTGAGAGCAAGTTCTCTCCACTGACCTTCTATGGGTCTAATCCACATTCCATAGCAACTCCTCAACCCTGCGCCCCTATCTGCTCCACTTGCTGGAGCTGAACTAAACACTGACCACCCAGGAGTTCTTCTCATCTGCCTCACACCCACTGGCTCCCCCAGCCATCCCAATCCACACCCAAAGTGCCACCAGAGACATCGCTGTGAAATGTAGATCTGAACACCCCTCCCCCAACCTTTGCTTTGTAACTCTAAAAGCAAGTGCCAACAGCTGGCTCCCACCACCCTCAGGATGAAATCCAAGCTTCACTCAGACATGCAGGACCTCCCGTCAGGCACCATCTGCCTTGCTCAGCTTCTCTCTCTCATCCATGACTTAGCATCTCCTCTATTCTCTGAACTCACTATCTCAGTCCTCTTTGCCCTTGCACACATGGCCCCTTCTTCCCAGCCCACCACCCAATTCTACCTCTTTCCTCTGGCCAATCTGCTACAGGGATTAATATTCACTCCTCTGAGAAACCTCCCTACTATCCACCACCACAGCCCCAGCTACCTGCGGCTTCCCAGGGCCTTTAGATGCAGCACACACAGTCCAAAGGGATGCATTTACACAGGCCATGGTGCTCTTGAGGGGTTCCATGCAGGGGAGAATATGCTGGTCTTTACCGCATATCCAAGCCACCATGGCCACTGCAAAATAATGTGCCTCAGACTGTCTGCTGTCACCAGAGTGGAACACAGTGCTTGGCATTAATAAGATTTGTTGCATGAATAAATAAAAGAAGAAAGGAAGGGAGAGAAGGAGAGAGAAAGAAGAGATGGGTAGGAACATATACCTGGGGGTATTAGAGGCCACCATCCTTTTAGCCCCCAGAAAGTCTCACTGCCCTGACTCCTGATCACTCTGCCCTTTCTCAGGTGGCAGAAAAAGTCGTGATCCTAGTGACAGATGCCAATGACGAGGCACCCAGGTTCATCCAAGAGCCTTATGTCGTCCTGGTTCCTGAGGTAAGAGGAGCCACTGGACRGGGAAGACACCCCTCCTCAGGCCCACAGCCTGCCCACTGGAGCTGCTGTATGCTCTGGCCCAGGGAACCAGGGCCTGGAGTGCAGAGCACCTATCCTTCCCTTCACTTGCTGCCCTCTAGAGAGCCCACGCCTCTGTGTCCTCCCCTACCTCTGCCTCTCTGCCCTCCCACATTAGGTTTTATTCCAAAAGAATGTCTACTTATCATTATAATTAATGCATGTTAATTGTAGAAATGTGTAACTTATAGAAAAGTAGGAGGGAATAGTTTTGAAAATCACGCTCAACCCCTCCAACCTGAGAACTTGTTACATTTTGGTATATATTCTTTTAATTTTTGTGTGATGATAGGGTTTTTTTTTTCATTTTTTGTTGGACATAATTGTGAATATAGTAAACAAATGCTATCAATATCTTATTTTGCACTTTATTTATGCCCTAGAAATTTTTCCTCATTCATTGAAAAGTTATCATTTTGAAAGCTTCCACCAAGTGAACAATCCATCTTCATTACCTCATTTCTTTATGCTTGGATATTAAAAATTTATATTTTTGATATTATAAGAAATATCAACCTCTGAGCATACAGGATTTCTTTTCTTTAATTAAGATTATTTCCTTAAAGGGCTGTGGGTATATCTCAGTGTTAGAGTGCTTGCCTAGCATGCTCAAGGCCCTGGGTTCCATTCCCAGCCACAGAAAGAGAGAAGGCAGGAAGGAAGGGAGAGAGGAAGGAGGGAGGAGGAGAGAAAAGTTATTTTCTTAAGATAGAACCCCAAGATTTGAAGTTACTGGCTCAAAAGCATAAATACCTGTATCCAAGGTGCTTTTCCAGGTCACCTGTTCACTTCCTGCCCTACAACATACAGAAGAGTTTGTCTCCCTGACCCTTGTCAACACCAAAAATTCTCAAAGTTTAAAATCAAAGTCAGCAAGAGAAACCCATTTCATTCTTGTTCTAAAGTCTGTGTGTGGGGTCCCTGGTGATCCTAAGTATGTCCATGTTTGTGAACCGTGTCCTCATTTGCAGATTGCAGTTTCATATTTAAACCCCTCATCTACTTGGGATCTTGGTCCTTTCTTCTGCTTTCTCATTGGGCACCCCAGTCCCTTGCCATGTCTTTCTCTCTCCCATTCCTCCCCATCTTTCCTGCATTCAGTTCAACATGTCTCCTCCATCTCTGTCCTTCCCCCATTGGAGGCTTGCATATGTCATTGCCACCTCTTCAGCCCCTCAGTCCCCTGATCTCACCACTTCCCTATGCCTCTGGCCCCTGACCCTTCCCTATGGCTGTGGCTCCTCAGGACACACCTGCTGGAAGCAGCATCTTCAAGGTCCATGCAGTGGACAAGGACGCTGGCTCTGGAGGGAGTGTCACCTACTTCCTGCAGGTAAGGTGGGATGCATAGGWTGCACCCAGGGTTCTGGGGTGGAGGGGACACTTGGACATCGTCCCTTCAATCATCAGGAACCTTAGACCAGTGCCCTCTACTGTTCCCAAAGAGCATCCACAGGTCTGGGACAGACAGGTCAGGACCTGAGAGGGATAGCAGGCTTCTTCCTGACTTCCCCATCGTAACTGCCTCTGAGTTGGCCTGTTCCAACTCACTCCTATGGAGATCCTGTGACCCTTAGCCCTCGGCTCCCCCAGAATCTTCCCCAGGATAAGCCTCAGACACTCTGTACTCACACAGGGTAGGAGAAACCTATCTGGGACTACAATGTTCCATAGAAAAAAGGGCAGAGGGAACAACTCTCAGAATAAGAGCTACTATGCCCTGACCCCCACCCTTGTCCATCGGTGCTGCCCTGACAAAGGCAGGGACCCCTCCCCTGTAACCCCCACCCCTATCTGTTCTCCTAAAAGTCAACTACCTCTCTGACATGGCTGCTGTTTCCATGCCACTTCCTCTTCTCTGCATCTGGTCACCCACCCTGACAATTTTCAGTGTACAGCTTGGTACAGGTTCTGAAGGAACACACCTTCAACTCCACAGGTATTGGAGAGATCCCCCACTTACCACTATGTACTTTCAACACTTTACCTGAATTTTCTAGCTCAGTTCCCTCACATGTAAAATGGGAAAGATAAAAACATATCTTCACTGAACAACTGTGAGGATTAAATGTGCACAAAACTCCAATCACGGCACCTGGCACTTAATACCTAAACCTGTGGCCTCCTGAGCACCCCCACCAGAGGTGAGTGCTCCTGCTGGCCTCCTCCAGACGGCTCATCATCCTTTGTTGCTCCCAGCAGGAGCTGCCCTGGACAGGCACAGCCCTTACACGTGGCTTGAAGGTCCCCAAGGCTCCCCCCTTCACCATGACACTGAAGTTCCAATGCCCTCTCAGTCAGAGTACCATCCRCACGTTTCTACCTGCTGGTACCTTCAGGCCAAAGGCTGAATCCCATGTTTTCCAGCTGAGCAGAGAGAAAAATCTAAGGCCCTGCTTGGAGAGAACATTCTGGTTTTGACAAAAATGGTGGGAGAGAAAGTCCTAAGCCCAATCTATGAGGGTATCCTGGGGGCCAAGAGGGCTGGGCGCCCTCAAGTTGGAACCTCAGCCCCCAAACCAGAGTTCCTTGGACAAGGGCCCATGAGAACCCTTCAGAGTGAACATTCCTGGGCAGCCTGGGGTCCTCCCTCAGGTCCAGTGCCTCCCTGATTCTTACAGAACCTGCACTCCACCACATTTGCCCTGGATCGCCASAGCGGAGTGCTGCGCTTGCAGGCCAGAGCCACTCTGGACTATGAGAAGTCCCAGACTCATCTTGTCACTGTGATTGCCAAGGTAACAGAGAGTGAGAAACAGAGGAGCATCTAGTCTGTTCTGAACTGTCCTGGAACACAGTGAGGTTGTGCAGCAGGAGGGCAGTTTGCAGAGCAGGAGGCATAACGGGAATTAAGGAGGGAGGAGAGGCAGCTACTTAAAAACTTTTGTCAGGACTTATTCTCCAAGGAGACTGATGCCTATGGGATGGAGAGGCCATATGCCCTTCCAGGGGAGAGGATATGACCCTTCAAGACTGATAGCCAGGATCAGCTAGGTAGGACCAAGTGATCCCCTCACACCCTCCACAACCTGGCCTCTGGGACCTTCCATCTGTCTGGCCAGGCTTGCTCACCCCACTCCTCCTCTTCATGTGAGCAGTTACTCTCTCTGAGCCTCTGTTTCCTCACCTGCCTGCCCCAGAAGTTAGTAACTAAGTTCTTCACATTTCTGAAGTGCATGGTGTGGGAGCCAGGAATCAGCAGGGCTCAACCAAGCCTCTTCCCCCCTGAGAGCAAAAGCTATCCCTCTAGGCCTAGAAGTTTCTTTTGCAGGAAGCCCTTTACAGGTCACATATTGGCTAGAGGTCATCCCACTACGGCCTCCATCAGGAATTACAAGTAGGGCCCACCTACTGGTTCCTCTGTGGGGGCTCAACTCACTGCACACTTCTGTTAGGCTTGCTCAGGATAAGGAAACAACTCCCATGTGCCCCTATGGCACCCAACTCAGGCTGGACCTGTCATGGCTACTCAGGTGTTCCAGGCTTGGTTTGGGGCTGGGAATGAGAATTTAGCCCTGACCTCCTCCTCCTCTGGCACTTGCTCACATGAGGTCCTGGAAAAAGAACCACTCCTGTATCCAGAGGACCCTAGTATACACCAGACCCTGGTTGAAAACCTTCGTGCATCATCTCATTTAATCTCCCCAACATCCTTGTGAGAGGAGAAGTACTGCATTGACACAGGAGCAAACAGAAGCTCAGAGAGGGCAGATGGCCCCGCAGCCAGCAGATGGCAGGTGCCAGACTCCTATGGAGTCTATCCCACTCCTGAGCCCAGCTTGTCTTCATTATCCTTCTGTGGTCCTGGTTTTTCCTCAGGATGGCGGGGGCAAGCTTCGAGGGGCCGACATCGTGTTTTCAGCCACCACCACTGTCACAGTCAATGTGGAGGACGTTCAGGACATGCCTCCTGTCTTCGTGGGCACACCCTACTATGGCTACGTGTATGAAGACACCCTGCCGGTGAGTGGCTCTGCCCCTCAGCCAGTGTCCCCTCCAGATGTTTCCTTCCCTGTCCCCTTGTGATTTCTTGGGGCCCCATGCTGAGGATGGCTGGACTCACCCTGCTCCCTGGGAACACCCCCTTCATACAGAGGCTGGCTCTGGACTAGGCTCAGCCYATGAACCAGGAGGAGGAAGCCCATACCAGTGTGGAGCATGCTTCTGGGCACTGAGGCTATGCCAGGCAGTCCTACATTCATGCAAGTTTACGCCAGCCTGGCTGCAAATGTTAGCCCCCCGGAAAGATCAGAGAGAGAGGATGGCGAGTGGCCAACAGTCTTGTTTGAGATGGGGCCTTTCTTATACCTTTGGAGGGTGAGGTTTCCTTTGTGCCTCCACAGCCCCAAACGTATAGCCTAGGGACTCTCCAACCAGCATTTCTTCCATCATCTGCTGTGTGAATCACGGTGACCCTTGTGAGGCATCCAACCCAGGTCCAGCTGGAAGGCCAATCTCTACCTCCTTCGCACGTAGTCTGTCCCTGGTGCTTCGGCAATTGTTCTTGTGTTCTGGTCTGTGGGTGAATCCCCAGTGGTCAGTTTCTCCAGGCTGGCTTGTGAGACTCAGCCTCCCTGCCACACCAGGAACCTTACTATCCTTTGAGTACCCCACCCCATCTTACTACATCACTTGATGCCCCTCCTCCTCAGTTCAGCTCCGGCACTGCTGCACATTTGGTGTTAAGATGTAGGCATCTCCCCTCTGCTCCCACAGCATGCACRGCACACCCCACCTTGAGCTCATCCATTCTTGGAGTACATCCGTGTATTTAAGTGCCTCCCAGCTGTACAATGGGCTCCCTGCAGGCAGAGCAGTACGGAGCCAGACCTCAATTGGCCCACAGTGGATGCAACAACTCTGTGCAATTATTTTGCCTTCTCAACTTTCACTTTCCCCTTTSCCTGATTGTTCCCAATTCCATGAAACAAAGAAACTGAGAACATAGAGCTAGAGACAAGCACAGAGAATGGGAGGGAGAAATACTGGCTGCCCTTAGTGCAGGCTGCAAGATGGGTTGGGAGAGCCCCAGACCCACATGCTGAAGAGCTAAGGGCAGCAGAGGTGTTGAGGGTCCAGGCTTGGGGTTGGCTATGGAGGGAAGGCAGCAGCTGAACCCAGTTCAGATGTAGCCCTGAGTAGTCAGGCAAGAGGGTAGGTCCCAAGTAAGGTACTTAGAAAGGGGCAAGGTCAAACTGGACTTTTTCCTCTCAGTAACCCATCTCCAGGGGCCATAGGATAAAGTACAAAATGTGAGATGTTGCATTTAAGGTGATCTTGGGATACACCCCTCTCATCTCTCCCTCATGCACCTCTAGAGTAGAGTGAGGGCAAAAGATGGAGCGGGCAGCAGGGTGAGGCCAGAGAGTGGGGGACAGCAGAGTGAGGCTAGTGTGGCCTAGGGGACTGGAATCAGTCTGGAGGCCTGAGGGTCTCTGGGCAGCCCATGCTATAACCTTGTGGGCCAGGAAGAAGGGAGGCTCAGGCTGTCCCTCCAGCCCTGGGAGGTCAGTGAAGCCTGAGCCTCCTCCTGACCTGGGAGGTCAGTGCAGAGTGGGGCAGCGTCACAGTTCAGGGCTACCCAGAGGCCTGGTTCTTTGCCTGTGTGGGGGTGGCACTTCCCTTCTGTGATGGGGCAGTTTCTGGGGAGGGGGAACCCCCAGTGTCACCATTAGCCTCAAGCAACTGCTTCTGTTCCCCAGGGCTCAGAGGTGCTGACAGTGGTGGCCATGGATGGAGATCGGGGCAAACCCAACCACATTGTCTACAGCCTCGTGAACGGTGAGTCTAGTCTAGCTAGAGTCTAGTACAGCTCTGACTCTTTTGGTGACCACAGAAAACTTCCTCTCCCTCTCTGGGTTCTGGTTCCCTACCTATTGAGGTCTGAGGGTCTCTAGGCAGCCCATGCTATAACCTTGTGGGCCAGGACAAAATGTGATAGAGAAGGCCATCTGGGCCCTTCAGGAGGTGACAAATGTGCTGCAGTCTAGCAACAGCAGGAACAGTAGTGGGGTCCTGAGAGCCACACAGTCCCCACTGATTCTCATTCCCTTCACCCTGAACACACCTTTGTGGATGGCAATAAGTGGCAACTTTTCTTTTGTGTGTGTGTGGGGGGGAGGTGCTGGGGTTCGGAACCCAGGGGCACTTTACCATTGAGTCACMTCCCCAGACCTTTTCATTTTTAATTTAATCTTATTTTGTTTTTGTTTTGTTCTGTTTTTTGAGACAGGTTCTCACTAAGTTGCTTAGAGTCTCGCTAAATTGCTGAGGTTGGCTTCAAACTTGTAATCCTCCTGCCTCAGGGTCACTGGGATTATAGGCATGTGCCACTGTACCTGGAGAGTGGCAACATTTCTTATACTCTTGGAATTTCTGTACTTTTTTTCTCATTCTTTTAAATATTTGACTAGAGCATATAGTTGAATTGAATAAATAAGCACAGTGATGATATGGTATGACCCTAGTACTAGCCCTACATATGGATGAGGAAACGGAGGCTCAGAGCAGCTAAACTGGCACCCAAGTCCCTACCTCTGGATTTAAACCCAGGTCTTTTAACTCTGCAGTGTGCTCTTTCCACACCTGGGCAGCAGCTGAACAGGCTGCAGTGTTCCTGAGGTGGTCTCTGCAGCCCACAGGAGGCCAGGTCATCACACCTGGAGTCTGATTCCAGATGTGCACACGTCTTTACACTCTCACCCAGAGACTACCACCTCCCACACCCTGTCCTAGGACACATCTGATACACACTTGCCTTCCAGCACCTCACACATGCATGAACATGTCCACCATCCCAGACAGGCTCCTTCCCCCAGGCACACAGACATTGGGCACCTTCCTGCCCCACTACCACTGCAGCCTTTTCCCAGTCACAGGGCAYGGCCCAGCCTCTGTTCTTGCTTCTCCCTCTGCAGCTCCCCACCATCTCCTTGTTCTTTCCTCTTTCTCTCTCCACACCCTCAGTTTCTTCCCCTCTTTCCTTCTCTCTCCTCTTCCTTACCTCCCTCTGTCTTTATCTCCTTTTTGTTCCCTTGCTCTGTCTCACACACACACACACACACACACACACACACACACACACACACACACATACACACACAGTATCATGCATAGGAGAAGGGATACAGTATGGAACCTGAGAGCCAGACAGAAGTGAGTTCAAGCCCCGGTCTGCATTTGCTGTGTAAGCTTAGATAAGTTAACTTGGCCCCTATGAGACTCAGTTTCCTCATTGGCAAGACACAGATGAAAACAGTTTTGCGGTCTACAAGGAAACCTCCAATTAGCTAATGCTTGAGAAGCGAGTGGCATGACTCCCCTACACCCCCCTGTGGCCCTGTGCTGAACTGCAGGGGACTTCTCTGACAGGTAGTGACGAAGACTTTGAAATTAATGAGACATCTGGAGCCATTTCGGTCATGCAGAGCCCTGCCCAGCTCCGGAAGGAAGTGTATGAGCTGCATGTACAGGTAACCCCCTCTAGCTTTGCCAGTCCTGCCCACTCTCCAGCCCTGGAGGGCTACCAAGGCAATGAGACCCAGGCCCTCCTTGATCCCTGGGGCTCAGTCTGGGAGGGAGCTAGATGTTGCTACTTTGGGCACCTACACCAGGTTTTAGCTCGTGTGTGTGTGTGTGTGTGTGTGTGTGTGTGTGTGTGTACGTGCACATGCATGCACACACAGCAGGAATTATGAAAAAATAGGAAGAAATAGGACTGAAGCAGCAATGCCTCCAGCACCAGTAAGACCCAGCAGGTGGAGACTGATGGAGGAAACCATGGTGGGTGAGGGTAAGTGAAAATATTACAAGCCACAAAATCCCTGGAAGCCCAGGCTGGGGACAATAACACAGGAAATGGTAAGGAATCAACAAGGAGTCAGTTGAGACTGGAGCAGAGTTCACAGGAAGCATGCAGAAGAAGGAAAGTAGGAATCCCAGGTTGGGAACCAGAGCATCAGGGGCCTGAATGTGAGGTATGGGTTTTCTCTAAAGCAGGGAATGTGACTTGTGCAGCCACACAGAAGCTGTGTTTAGGAGGGTCCCACACTAAACTTAATTCTCTGCTGTTTACTATCTTCAAAGTTCCAATAACCTATGATGTTTTATTGGATCTTCCCAAGAACATGAAGAGCCACTGAAAGGTTTTGATAGTCTCGTGTTGGAAAGCTCATTGTGGCTACTTGGTAACCAGTCAGGTTTCAAAATTTGGAGTGTAGGATCCTCTCTTAGGATGGGAATTCAGAGTGTGTGTCTGTGTATGAAAGGGGTAAGCCCAGGACTCTGGATCCTGGCTCCAGTGCTAGCCAAGCATTTGAGAACTCAATTAGGATCTGAAGAGAACTGAACAGGACACAGAAACACCATTCAAGGTGTCAGCAGAAGAGGACCTGTAGAGGTAAAGGGAGGTGAAATGGCAGAAAGGGACAAATTGCAAAATACAAAGTGGTCAGATGAAACCTGGATGCTACTACCATCAGGAGCATGGGAGAGGCTACAAGTTAATTAGGAAGGAAATGATGAGTCTGGGTGCTTGGACCTGGCATGCAGATTTGGAACTCAGAAGAGAGAGTGTCCATATTCACTGTGAAAGGCACAGGAAGGAATGGGAGCACCCAGAATGGCTGTGGGAAGAGAGGAGCAGTTGGCTAAGTCCACATCCCCAGGAGCATCAAGGGAGGACAGGTGAAGGAAACCCAGGAGGGATCAGAGAGGTTGAGGAGAACTTGCCAAGAGCAGAATCACATTTTCCAAGGGAATGGAGCCCTTGGGAAGGTGCAAAGGTGATAGCGTGGAGTGCAGCACGGAAGGCAGTGTGAAGTATCTAAATGTGSGACAGGTGAGAAACCAGTGGGAGTAGGAAATGGAAACAGCAGGCACAGGCGTCTGAGAAGGGAGAGGGTTAGGGGAGCAGCCAGGCTGTGAAGGAGTCATTTTAGGAGAGTGTCCTTGTAGGACCAGATCATCCTGATAGAAAAGGGAAAGGAGGCCCTGGAAGATATTTGCTCAGATATTTGCCACATTATTAATGAGATACTATGGACCCTCAGCCCTGGTTCTTCAGCCTTTATTAGTTATCCGATGCTTCATGACAAATTACCCCAAACCCAGAGGCATAAAACAGCATACATCCATACTCTCAGTTGGTGTAGGTCAGGGGTCCAGGTTCTGTTTGACTAGGTCCTGGGTTACAAGGTCACTTTCATGGCTATAGTCAGATTGTCAACCAAGACTGGGGTCTCATCTGGAGGCTGGAATGTAGAAGGATTGTCTTCCTAGCTCACATGGTTATTGACACTACTTAGTTCCTTGATGACTCTTAGCTAGGGGTCACCCATTGTCTCATGAGCCTCTCTCCAATATAGCTGCCTCCTTCATCAAAGCCATCAGGGGAGATTCTGCTAGTAAGAGAAGTTACAATCTCATGTAATCTAACCATGAAGTGATAGCCCATCATCTTTGCCGTATGCTGTCAGTCAGAAGCAAGTTGCTCGGTCAGACTACACTTAAAGAAAGGGGATTATACAGGACCATTGGGGCCAACAAGAGTCCATCTGCTACAAAGCCACAGCCACCTCTCCCCACCCCAGGTGACAGAGATCAGCTCTGCAGGAAGCCCAGCTGCCCAGGCCATCGTCCCTGTCACCATCAGGATTGTGGACCTCAACAACCATCCACCAACATTCTATGGAGAGAGTGGGCCTCAGAACAAGTTTGAGCTGTCCATGTATGAACATCCGCCCCAGGGGGAGATCCTGCGGGGCCTCAAGATCACCGTCAATGACTCTGATCAGGTGCGTGGTCTTGCCCTCAAAACTAACTGGCTCTGTGTCAACTGTCACTGCCTATGTAGCAGGGGCCAGGCAGATCACAAAGTGAATGAAACCAAAGGTTATAATCAAGACGGAGCAGAGGGACAATGCCAATCAAAGATTATCTTCTCAGCATAAAGGAATTCAAAATCAATTAAAAATGAAAAGCCACAGAGAAAAAGAAAATTACGCCGTTTGCAAGAAAATGGATGGAACTGTAGAACATCATGTTAAGTGAAATAATCCAGGCTCAGAATATCAAGTGTCAAATGTTTTCTCTCATATGTAGATGCTAGAGAGAAAAGGGTCGGGAGGAGAGAGATCTCATAAAAATAGAAGGGAGATCTGTAGAAGAGAGGATGTGGATCAGGGGGAGGGAGGAGGAAAGGGCAAGGAGAGGGCAAAGGAGAGGACACTGAGGAATGAATTTGATCAAATTATGTTGAGATAAAACAAAAAAAATGTTGTGTACATGTACAACTATGCCGCAGTGAATCCCATTATTATATATAGTTATAATATACCAATAATTATTTTTTTAAAAAGCAAAAGCCAGTCAAACAAAACTCCCCGCATCTGACCCTCCAAACAGGTGTTTGCAAATATGTCCTTCCACCCCCCATGCCCAGCACAGAAACTGGGTCTTATGTGTTTGTACCTTGCTTAATCCTTATACCCTGCTAAATCTTTCTGATCCTTGATCAATGCACCTTTAGAAAGAAAGATGACTCATCTTTCAGAGATAAGGGCATTTCCGTATGCTGAGGGCACTTAGCACCTGTACATGATGTGTTTCTGTTCTCATTTATCTTCCCTGTTTCCTCTTTCCATGCTCCATTGCCCAGGGAGCCAATGCCAAATTCAACCTGCGGCTGGTGGGACCCAGAGGCCTCTTCCGAGTGGTCCCACAGACAGTCCTAAATGAAGCCCAAGTCACCATTATTGTGGAGAATTCAGACGCCATTGACTTTGAAAGCTCTCAGGTGTTAACCTTTAAGGTAAGTGATGTTTTGCACTGTCTTGAATGGGGAGTGTAATGGGGCGCTCATCCCATTATTGATTTATCCCTGAGGGGACTCCTATCACCCCTGTCCTTCCTGGTCCTACTCTTTTTCTCCCTGGCCCTCTACTCCTCCTGCTGACATGGGGAGAAGGTGCTAGGTCTGGTTGGGGAGAAGAGTGGCGTACAGACAGCCTCTTACAGACTGCTCACGGTCTTAGCTTCATTGAGATCCCAGCTCCTACACCACAACTAGGCCCAGGAATGCAAGGGGTGGAGAGTCAGAGAAAATTACCACCAAGATTTGGCCTGTTAGTAGAAAGAGAGAAACCATTTGATTATCAAGATGTTTTCTCATGTGTCTTTGACATCTGTCATTTGTTCTGATAACCCCCTTAGCTGAAGAGGGAAAAAATACTTTTTTAATGTCACTTAAAATTAAGTAAAATTATAAATGTATACAAATAATCAATATTACATATTAACTTGTTATATGTTAGTAAAAATCAACAATAAATACTACATTGATGTTATTTAAGTCATCATTGCACTTATACACACATACACACCTGTAGCCCAACATCATGTTTAAAAATGAAATATTAAAAGAATTCTATGAACTCTGGAACAAAGCATGAATGCCTGCCATCACCACTATTATTTAGCATGATTTTTGGAATAACATTGTTCCCAAAGAAAGAAAAGAAATAAAAGTCATAAATATTAGAAAGAAGAAGCCAAAATTCACATTATTTGTAAGGGATACAATTGTTTCTTTAGAAAATCTAAGAGAAGTGGTTTAAAAACCATTAGAAAAATAGCAGAATTGCTGACATGTTCAATTACAAGTTGATACCCCCAATCAAACAGAGAATATATAATAGAATAAAAGACTTCTAGAAATTACCATAACAAGAAACGTGTAGTATTTAAATGATGAAAAATGCAAAAATTTCATAAAGGGATATAAAGAAGGCAAGATATGTAAAGATGTACCTTGTTTTAAAAATGCAAGTTCTCCCTAGGTTGATATAGAATTCACTATCTCCCCAATTAACTCTGACTTAGAATTTCCTTTGGAGAGGAGGTAAGAAAACTTATCCTGGTTTTTATTTGGAGAAATAAAGAATAGTCAGAAAATTTGGAACTAGAAAGGAATATATATGCAGATTAGTAGAACAAAAAACTGGCTCAAATATAAACAGGAGCTGTCTGTGAGGGAGGAATGAGGAGAGATCTTACAGATAGTGGCAGGAATAACCTCTTGGAAGCGGAGAGTAAGAACAGACACAAGGCAAGGGGTGCTGGACCAGTTCTGGGGAGTAGGTGGTGGGAGGGCCCTGGGCAGGTGACTGTCCATCCAGACAAGTCCTCAGTTTTTCCTCCTCCTCCAGCTCCTGGCCATTGAAGTGAATACTCCAGAGAAGTTCAGTTCCACGGCAGATATTGTGATCCAGCTCCTGGACACCAATGATAATGTCCCCAAGTTCACTTCTCACTACTATGTTGCCAGGATCCCCGAGAATGCCCCAGGGGGCTCCAACGTGGTAGTTGTCACAGTAAGTTGGGGACTGGCCCCAGGACTTGGGGTGGGGTAAGGGGCCTTGTAAGTGAGACAAATTCAGGTTCCAGTTTAAATCACAAAGCCCACAGTCACTAGCTGTGACTTTGAGCTGCTTGCCCTCTCTAGCCTCTGTTCCTTCACTGGTCTGTGTTGAGGACATATGCACAGGCCATGGGACCCATCCAGTTCCCTTCCTCATGTATAAAGGAGGAATAAATGACTTGAAGATCTGAACCTTTTGGTTCCTCCAACACTTGAGACCTCCCTGGAAGAAAACTAGAGTCCTCAGGCAGTCTCCCGCCTCCTGGTGAGTTCCTCTTCAGCTGAGCAAAGTCCAGGCCCCCCTTGCATTGCCATTGAAAGCAACCCTTGCTTAGGGAGCTGTCAACATGTCCTGACCTCAGGACAGGAGCCACTGGGAGTTTTCTCTCTTCCAGGCTGTGGATCCAGACACAGGACCCTGGGGCAAAGTCAAATACTCCATCTATGGGACTGGGGCCGACCTGTAAGTAGATCCAGAACCCAGACATAGCCTCAGGCAAGGGATTTATTTAGCGTTGGGAGGAGGTATTTTGGCTGAAGGCAGGAAGAACCTGGAAGCCATGGGAGCCTGGGTTGTGGGACAGTGAGCCTTCCAGAGTGTGCAAGGTGGGTGGTGATGAATAGTGGGAAATAGTACAGAGCCCAAGTCAGAGATTTCTGGGGACTTAATAAGCAAGGTGCTTAGGAGAAAAGAAGGTCATGGTCACTGCTAGAGCTAAGGCAGGAGGCTTTCTGAGCTAGGCAAGCAGTACTGGGCTTGGGGAGGGAGCAGGGCATAGGAGAAGAGCTATAATTCGGGGTTGTTAAGCTCCTCCTCTCCCATTAGACTGCAGGGATGGAACCTGAGCAGGCAGGATTTCTGGGAGAAGCTTCATAATGCCTCCCTGCTGCTTCCTGGAGGCAGCTCATCTGCTTATCATTGCATGCATGGATGTGTGTGCATATGTGTGTATGTGCACATGTTTGCATGAGTGGGTGCATGTGCCACAAGCACACATGTACACACATCCTGTGCCTGTTCTTTCTGTGCCTGGCAGGTTCCTGATACACCCGTCCACTGGGCTTATTTACACCCAGCCCTGGGCCAGCCTGGATGCTGAAGCCACTGCTAGATACAACTTTTATGTGAAGGCTGAGGACATGGAGGGCAGGTACAGCCTGGCTGAAGTATTCATCACTCTACTGGACGTCAATGACCACTATCCCCAATTTGGAAAAAGCATTCAGGAGAAGACGATGGTCCTGGGGTCCCCAGTGAAAATTGAGGTGAGTTTTGGAGGCAGCTGAGCTCCCCTAAAAGCCTGGTTCTAGCAGCTGAGAGAGACACTGGAGCATAACAATTTAGTTTAAAATAAAAGGTAATGGATTCCTACTAGGGGCAATGGAGGTGTTTTACGTAACCACATCTCCACCTTATCCCAGAAAAATCCTCTGAGAAAGAAGACATTACAAATGGAAAACAGGAAGTTCTAATGGGCTAAGTGTTTGTCTTCCCTGAGTTCACATAGCTGGTCTGCCTGCCTTCAGAGCAGTGCTCTGTCCACTATGCTTCACTGTCTTCCCAACGGAGAAAAAGTATGAACTCTGAAACCCAATAGAATTGACCTCGGATCCCAATTCCCCTCCTTCCATTTCTACCTTTGGACAAGTCACTTAGTATCCAAGCTTTCAGTTTTTCATCTATAGTATAGATTCACCAATACCTACTTCTTAGACTTGTTCTGGCAATGGAACCATACAGGACCTAGCATAGCCCCTCACTCACGGCAGTGTATACCTTCTATTTTTTTCCCAGCTTAATCCATCTCAATTAAAATCAACCATTTCCAAGCTCCATATTACATCTGGTTTATCCAGCATAGAAAGGTATCTTCCCCAGGCCCTGCTCTATCCGTCCCTCTCTGTGCACAGGCCATAGATCAGGATGCAGAGGAACCCAACAACCTGGTGGACTATTCCATCACCCATGCGGAGCCAGCCAATGTGTTTGAAATTGACGCACACACAGGAGAGATCAGGCTCAAGAATTCCATCCGGTCCCTCGATGCTCTGCACAACATCACACTTGGAGGGGACTGCACATGGTCTTTACAAGTGCAGGCCAAGGACCGAGGCTCCCCATCCTTCAGCACCACAGCCTTACTCAAGATTGACATCACAGACACTGAGGTGGGTACAAAGCACAGTAAGGAAAAGGTAGCAGAAGTCTAGCTCAGGCCTCTCTGACACAAAGGCAGAGGGAGAGGGATCATCTACTGGCTTCCTCCAAAAAATGCTCATTGCTATCAAAGGCTCCCTAGGCCATCAAACCAATAGCCTTGGGAATCGGACTGAAATTCTAGTTTCAATACCTATAAATAGTGTGACTTCAGGCTTTCCTAGGATTCTGTTACCTTTCCCTATAAAATGGAAATAATGATGCCTCTTCACACGAGTGTTGAAAAGTAAAAGTGAAATAATTATGTGTAGTTGTCTGGCAGAGAATCGTCGCTTTAGGGATTTTTGATACATTTATGTTAGTGAATTCCTCTGTAATCACAGACAAACAATATCCTATGCTTCAAGGACAGCGTCCAGCAAAACAGATGTTTTGAATCTAAAAGAGGTTGTTGGCATCATGTTCTGCCTGAGTGATTGTCCTAGGGAATGATTTGCATTATGTTCTCTCTCCCTATGTACTTTTTCTGTAAAGAAGCCCATAGCACTTATTAGATTCTCAAATTCTCTTAAAATACATCAGGCTTGGCCTGGGAGTGTAACTCAGTGGTAGAGTTCTTGCTTAGCAAGCATAAGGCCCTGGGTTCTATCCCCAGCATGGGGCCATTGCGGGAGTGGGGGGGGAGTGGATGCTGATTCATCCCATCAGGCTTAAGGAAGTGCATGCCCCCACTCTGTCCTCCAGGGACCAGTGGGAACAGTTCAACTCAGGCAACGGCTTTCTCTTCCAGACACTGTCCCGAAGCCCCATGGCTGCCTTCCTAATACAAACCAAGGACAACCCCATGAAGGCCGTGGGTGTACTGGCCGGTATCATGGCCATTGTTGTGGCCATAACCGTCCTCATCTCCACTGCCACTTTCTGGCGTAACAAGAAGTCCAACAAGGTCCAGCCCGTGCGACGTGTATTCCGCAAGCGTTTCAGACCTGCTGCACCCCGCACTGCCCGCACTGAGTGGCTCAAGTTCAGGAAGGACAAGTCTGCCACCAAGTTCATGCTAAAAGAGGATCCTACCAATGAGAACTGCAATAACAGCACAGGAAGCCCATTGCCCCCCACAGCTCCAGCTCTCCCTCCACCCCCCAGAATGGTGCCCAACACAGTCACCTGCTGTACGGTGCCTACAGTCTCTGGATCCCTCACCCCAGAGAGATCCCAACAGTCACCTCAATCTGAGGCCTTGGGAAGCCCCACCCAGTTGACTCTGGTCTCTGAGCTCAAGCAAAAGTTTGAGAAGAAAAATACAAACAAGGCTTACTTCTAGAGAATACCCTGTGGCTCCTTCTTCCCTTCCTATCCAACATAGCCACCCTGCTGATCTCAATGTGCTCCCCTTCCTCTGTTTCTGAAGGTCACCCCTGTTTTGTACCCCATACAMAAGTCTCTGGATTGGGCCTTGGGCAAGCAATTTTTCAGGATGCATTTAGCAAATATGTCCCTGTGCCCCCAATCCTTGACATAGCCATGATGCTCCCCATTCTTCAGAGGCCAGGAACTGACAAGGAGCTAGCTCTAGGCATCTTCTATTCACAGTTGCTTGGGTCCTGCTGGAATCTCATCATAGGGCCTTGGTTCTATGTGATTAAGCCAACAAGAATCTGGATCCTGAAGCCCATAGCAAAGAGCTGGAGCAGGAAAAGGAGATCTATTCCTGGCTGAGGCTGGAGGTCAGCAAACTTTACATTCCACAGGAGAGGAAATGCAGGCGAACAGGGGGAGAAGAGACACTGAAAACTCATCCTGGCTGCAGGGCTCTGCCTGAAGCCACTGAAACACTGAAGCATGGCATCCGGGTGAGATTGTAGACCACTGTTGTGCTCATGTGGGACAAAGGACCTACAGGTATAAGATGGTTTTACCAAGAGTGAAGGCAGAAATGCCTGTCCAGGACTGCCCTGGTCCTAGAAGCTGGAGCCACACTGGGAGCTCTAAAAGTACCCAAAAGAAGTTTGGGACTCCTCTCTGAGAAGCTGCCCTCTCTTCCAAGAGACAGTGTAGGGTGGTAGATAGATATCCGGGCTGAGATCTAAGGGATCTTCTGTTTTTATTCAACTTAGGGAAGCTGTTTTAACTCTCTGATTATCTTCTTCCTCATCAGTAAAATGAAGAACCTCAGCCCCAAAGTTATGATGAAGCCTTCAACCAGGTGCAAAGTGGCACAAATGCAAAGTTTTTTTATGCAAGCCAGTTCTCTGAGTACGGTTCTTCTAGAAAATATCAGAATCTCTCAGATACACTGGTGGTGTTGTGCTGGCTACCACTGGTCCCCAGAAGCCAGAACCAGATGACGGCTCTCTCTTTCTGTTCTCCCCTTACCGATTCCTCTCTCAGGGAGCACCAGAGCTGGGCAGCAATGTCTAGTCTGAGCCTCCATTTTGCCAAGATAAGGGAAATGAGTTCCCAAGAAAGGCATGATTTGTCTGATATTGCACAGTGGGTTGGTAGCTGGGATCTTGTCTGAAAGCATTTTCCTGTAGTCTAGGCATACATTGTTAGTATGTGACAATGTTCCCAAGAGAGAAACCCTACAAACCTGCTGTGGTTAATCTACAGAGGTTCTTCCCTGCTTTAAGGAACCTGCCGTAAGAAAATCTAGATTTATACACAGATAGAAAAATAGAATTGTTCTTTACATTTTGCTCCACTTGCACACAAGCCCTCTAGAATATGTCGTGATTTTATGAGAAGAGATTTTATGCTTGTGTGATGTCTGAATCTGTGTTTTGAGGTATAACTCAGATGTGCCAGTGTACAGAGTTCTTGCCAGGGTGTCTTCGGTTCCTAACCCAAACAGTATTAATGAGGGGCAGGCTCTAGCATGGCAGGAGCCCAGACTGCACAGGTCTTTCCAGACTTTTCAGGAGAGGGCTGGGTGGGATCATGTCTGCTCATCGCAGGGAATACAGCATCCTTACAACATGCATGCGGTCAATCTCTTTTGTAAATGGTAAATAAAAGTCTAATAACTCTACGCAATCTGACCTCCTGCCCCTGCTTACATTTGTGTTCATGGACTTGTGGAGACCAGTCTTCCTGACTCACAGACAAGCTCAGCCTGCCTCCTGGCTCCTTCAGTGGGTATAGCCAACCTGACCCCCAACTGAGGGAGGCTTCAAATTTTTGTCCAAATTGCCTGCATGCACCTCAAATAGCAGCACCTTTGCAGACTTATCTACCTGATCCCCTCATCCAGGACTTGGATTGGGCTTTTTCCCCTAAGTAAGACACACTCAGGCAGGGTTGCTTGGGAAAGAAGGAGATCTGGGGCTAGAAGTAACTACCTCAGTGCAGTCCAGCAAGGGCAGGAATTGGGATGTTTGGCATGGGTGGGAAAGTTGGGAAAGCAGTTAATCTCTGGAATGATGGTTGCTAAGACCTCTGAACTGGGAGCTCAGGATAGCAGATGGGTTCTGGAAGGGAGTCGGGCTCCAAGACAAGCCCAGAAACTTGAACCAAAGCAGAGTCGATTTTGGAACTGGCCACGGAAGGAGAAAGGGCCAAGTAGCCAGCATGAGCCACATTGGGACAGAGAAGGAGGGGACAGCTTAACTGAAGAGACCAGTGAATATATTCAGCACTAAGGTAGACCCTGCCACTGAGGTAGAGCTAACCAAGTCCCACTGATTTAAGGAACAGCAGGGTGAGGGGCTCCTTGCTCAGTCACATCAAGAAAGGCCCAGATCTACAAGCTGGTACAATGCTAGGTCTGTAGGGAAAGAGCTGAGAGGGCAGGTACAGCATCTGGGGAGGGCCTTCCACTCTTGGACTATAAGAATGAAGCATTAACTCCATGGACAATCAATAGACACTACCTGAAGAAATCTGTTGTTATTTTTCCTTCCTTGTGGCTGAGCTCAGCCTTTCTGGTTATATGAAAAATAAAGTGCTTTTACAGTTTGACAGCCCTTGGTTTGAATTCAGATTCTGCCACTTAAATGTGACAACATAAGCTTATTGCTGTGATAATGACAAGAACTAATATATTCAAAGGACCCGGCACCAGCTTTGTAGCTACTGTCACAGCTCAGTAGACAGTTGCTATTTTTAGTTGTAGAAGAGAATATTTGAGGATAGCTCACTGTGGCCCACCTAGGAGGGCACATTTCCTGGGGGAGAGGGCTTCTCCAAGCAGACCTTCCTGAGCTTGTTTCTACCCATTAATAGACCTGGAATCCTCCCCTATGTACTGGGAGAAGAGAAGACAGAAGATGGAAGTAGAAGAGAGCTGGGCCTCTGTAAGCTGCAACTTGCAGCTTGCATTTGGGCGTCCTCATTCCAAGGGAGGACAGAACTGATGAGCTGTCCCTAAGATAACTTTGGTACTCTGTCCCAGTGCAGAACCCAGCTGGAAAAGTGTGTAAATCTTCTGCCCCTGCGTCTCCAAGGACGTCAGGGATTCTGTATCTCTTTGAGAACAGAATATTTTCTTTCTTTCTTTCTTTTCTTTCTTTCTTTCTTTCTTTCTTTCTTTCTTTCTTTCTTTCTTTCTTTCTTTCTTTCTTTCTTTCTTTCCTTCTTTCTTTCTTTCTTTAAAAAGATGGGGCCTAGCTATATTGACCAAACTTCTCTTGAACTCATGTGTTCAAGGATTCCTGAACAGCTGAGACTATAGATCCATGCCATCACACACAACACAACAGAGGCTTCAAAGAATCCAGAGTTCTGGCTACTAACAGGCAGCAACACTTCTATGGCAGTCTTCAGGGTTTCTAGATGAGGATGGGTTAACAGGGATAATGAAGATGATGTTGCATGAGGACCACGGCAGGCAGATTGGCATGTGGACACAAAGAGGTTCTTTTAGGAGACAGAGGTGTTCTGAAACTTCTGGATTCCAGAATGAGGTGGTTGTGGCATGAGCCACCATAATATGATTAATAAAGTGGATTAGCAACAGGGTGTTGCTGGGAACATTCATGTGACATGAAATCATGCCAGTGCACTTCTTTTGCTAAATGAGGTCCTGTCACTTATCCAGTACTTAGTAATTCACTCAATCATTCCTGTGGAAACACATGCTCTTAGTCTTATCATCTATGCTGGGCCCTAATCTAGGTGTAAGGTGGACAGGTTCTAATAAGACAGAAGAAAAGAGGAAAAGAACAAAATTCCTTCTGCAAGTTGCTGATAGCAGAACCCTGGGACTAGAGATAGCTCTATTCTAAAAACCAGTAGCCCTACTTATAAATGCCTCCTGTCTTAAAATTACATGATCCAAACTCTAAATGCAWAATCTCCCCCAAGAGCATGACAAATGGATCTAAAACTATAACATCCTTCAAACATGAATCGTACAGAAAAGGTGAGGGATATTAGCATAGGTATCATGACATTACATGTACGGATACTCCTTGGCCTATGGAGTTTTATCCAAATAAATCCATGTTAAGTTGAAATCATTGTAAGCCAAAAATGCATTTAACACACCTAACTTACTGAACATCGTAGCTTTGCATCACTGTACAGTAGAGTATCAGTGGTTGTTCCCTTCTGATCACCTAATGGGCTGAGAGCTGTGTCTTGCTGTAATATCTCCATGCTGTATATTGCTAATCCAGAAAAAGATAAAAATTCCCAACTGAAGTTTGATTTTTACTGAATGCATATCACTTTTGCATCATTGCTAAGTAGAAAAATCCTAAATTGAACCATCTGGGACTGTCAATATGTGAATCTTTAGGATTCTTTTTTTTTTTTTTTTTTGGTACTGGGATTAAACCTAGAGGTTTGACTACTGAGCCACATTCCCAGCCCTTTTTTATTTAGAGACAGGGTCTCACTAAGTTGCTTAGGACCTTGCTAAGTTGCTGAGGCTGGCTTTGAATTTGCGATCCTCCTGCCTCAGCCTGCTGAGCTGCTGGGATTACAGGTGTGTACCCCACACCCAATTCATTCTAGAACTTTTTAAGAGGCTCCCCACAGATCTTCAAAAGGATGGTATTCCCAGAAATCCACTCTAGACCAGATTCGTCTTCCCTAAATGTCCATATTCACAGGAGCAGCTGAACACAGCTTCTGACCAACATGCTTCCGACCCACTTCCAGGTTTACTCCTCTTCCATGCACCTTCCTTCCTCCTGCCCACCCTGTTCCATGCCCACCTCCAAGCATCCTTTGGCAGAGGAAAATCAGAGCGTCCATTCTCACCTTCATGGTTGCACCAAGCTATTTCATGATGGCTGAATCCTCGGTCCTGTGGAAGGAAATACTCAGAGGCCAATACAAATACAAGTTCCTGCCTCACTTCAGCCACTTACCTTTGAA